GGATGAAGTCACAGGCGATTTTCAGCCAGCACCCCTAGAACTGTCTTCTTGATGTTAACCTTCAGTTCATATATATAACTACAGTCCTTGATCTTCTGCAGTAAACACTTAAGGTCCTTCTCAGTTTGGGCAAGCAATGTTGTCATCATCTACATAACACAGGTTATAGATGAGTCTTCCTCCAACTCTGATGCCACACTCCTCCTCACAATGTCCAGCCTCTCAAGTAATCTGTTCTGCATACAGATTGAAAAGATATGGAAACAGGACACATCCCTGATACACTCCTCTCCTGGTTTTGAACCATGCAGTGTTTCCTCGCTTTGTTCAGACGACTGCTTCCTGGTCTAAGTGTGGGTTTCTCATGAGCATTATCAAGTGTTCTGGCCTTCCCATTTTCCTCAAGGTTAGCCACAATTTGTTGTGATCGACACAGTCAAATGCCTTTGCATAGTCAATGAAGCACAGATAGACATTCCTCTGGTATTCTGCTTTCAGCTAAGATCCATCTGACATTGGCAATAATGTCTCTAATGCCACAGCCTCTTTTAAACTTATCTTGTACTTCTGTAGTTCTCTGTTAATGTACTCTTCCAGTTGTTTTTGGAGACTCTTTAGCAGGATTTTGCTTGTAAGTGATATTAGTGGTATTGTTCAATAGTTTCCACACTCCGCTGTATCACCTTTTTTGGGGGATAGGAATAAATATGGATCTCTTCCAGTCAGTTCCAGGTGGTTGTCCTCCAGATTTTTTGGCACAACCTGGTTAGCCAGGGCAGCATCTGTTTGTTGAAATACGTCAACTAGTATGCCATCAATTCCTGGGGCCTTGCTTTTTTGCCAATTCCTTCAGAGCAGCTTGAACTTCCTCCTTCACCATCACTGCCTCTTGATCATATGCTGTCTCATGAACTTGTATATTCAAAGAATTTTGAGCACAATGTTAGCTATTATTTACATTCAATTTTATTTTCTTTTTAAAAGGGAAACATTTCCAATCACCATATTAAATCTCATCCCAAAAAGTATTCAAATCTTATATTAAAGAAAAAGTTTAATTCATTCTTCATCAATAATCTATATAATTATGTCAAAAAAGAATAAAAATACATACCTTGTAGGTATAAATAATATTTCCATTTCTTTCTACATTTAGTATACGTAAGCTGTTATCATTTTCTAAAATATCTGAAAAAGTAAAATAATAATGGAACGTTAACAGATCACAAAAAATGTTTAAAAACATAGACAACAAGTATATTAGTCAAAGAGCTAGTCAAAAAAAGAATAGTTACTGGTGATTTCACTATAGAATTCATATAAACTTTCTGATATCAGTAAAAATGATGACCATTAGAGAAGAGGAAAGGAACAAGAAGTGGAAGAGATGACGAAGGGACGTTCTGAGAAGCTGACAAAGCTGACTCTGAACGTATGCTCACTTTGCAGTAACTTAATGAACTGTATTCACTTTTGATGTTCATGTTTTTATGTATGGATAACATGTATCAACAAATTTTAAGGATCTTCCAGTTTTGCTTTATACCTTTTCAACATCAAGAAAACAAAAGCCCTCACAACTGGACCAGTAGGTAATATCAGAATAAATGGAGAAAAGACTGAAGGTGTCAAGGATTGCATTTCACTTGAATCCATAATCAATACTTACGGAAGTGGAGTCAGGATATAAAAAAAAAAAATAATTATTCAGTACCTTTTTAAACTACTAACAAGAAAGGATGTCAGTCTAAAGATTAAGGTATGCCTGATCTTGATGTTACCAATTACTCACATCCAAGTAAAAAGTTGGACAATAAAAAAAGAAGATTGAAAAATTTGTCTTTGAATTGTAGTGTTCATGAAGAGTATTGAATTAAATTGTCAAAAGAACAAACAAAACTGTTCTGAAAGGAGCGCGTCCAGGCATTCCTTACTTTGTTTCGCATATACTGGGTATTTTATCCTGAAGGCCCAGTCGTTGGAGAGGGATACCATGCTTGAGATATCATGCTTGGAAAGGCAGAGGAAAACCCTTAATGAGGAGGACTGACATAGTGACATAGTGACTCTGACATAGTGACTGCAACAGCGGGCTTGAACACAACTGAGATTGTCAGCATGACAGAGGATTGGGCAAAGTTGGTCTACTGTCCATTGCACTGCTATCGGCGGGATCAACTTGATGGCACCTAACATCTTTAGGTACACACAAATTCAGAACTGTTACATTTTTAAGATCTTGCCTATTTTATTCATTAGATAATATTCTTCTTTACTTCTTATAACTTTCTTCCTTATAACCTGCTTTATCTAATGTTTCTATACTGTCATCAGCTTCTTTTGGTTAATGCTTCCATAGTATAACTTTGCCATCCTTTTACTATTAAACATCTTATATCCTTGGAAAATAAGGCCTTATTATAGGAGCAATGTCTCAGATCACATGATAAAAGTTGGCAACACCAATTTAATTAATTATTCATTGCAAACACCTTGAAAAAAATTAATGGAAACTATGCATGTACAGACCTTGATTGCCAGAATACACAGGAATCAAACAGACCCACAGAGACAATCAACGCTGAAGCTCAGTATCATCAGTAAGAATAAGACCAAAGGCCACCTGTGGAATAAACAATCAGTTGCTCACATACAAGTTCAAACTGAAGTTGAAGAAAACTGAAATAAGTGCAGAAGAGTCAAAATAGGATCTTGAGTATATCTCATTTGAATTTAGAGACCATCTTAAGAAACATTAATGTCCAAAGAGCAAACAAATGATAAAATCAAAATATATGAGAAATTAGGAGATTAGAAGTTCATTAAGAAGACAGAAAATATCAAAATCAATGTTAGAAAAGAATGAAACTTGCTCTTCAATGAATGGAGAAAATGATGAAGTAAAAGTAGTATTGTTGTTGTTGTTGTGTGCCATCAAGTCGCTTGCGACTCATAGCGACCCTATGCACAAGAGCCCTAAACGCCGTTCTATCCTGTGCCAACCTCGCCACCTCAAACACTCATTCCCACCACTCCACTCACAGAATCAATCCATCTCATCGAGGGTCTTCATCTCCTGCGCCATCCCTCCATTCTCCCAAGCATGATGTCTCTCTCCAAGGACCAGTCCCTCCTTGCAACATGCCCAAAGTATGTCAGATGGTGGTTCAGAATCCTTGACTCTAAAGAGCATTCTGGCTTCACCCTCTCCATGACAAACCTGTTTGTGCTCCTAGCAGCCCATGGTATATTCAACACTCTTCTCCAGCACCACAGCTCAAAGGCTCTATTTTCTTTCTATCATCTATTTATTATCTATCATCTTTCTATCATCTATTTCTATCAAAAGTAGCTTAAAAAGACAAAGCATTATAATGAAATATGCAGATATGACATAAGATATTCTAGTACGCATTTTTTTGCTAACACATGTACATCTGTGTGTGTATATGTAACCAAAAGATACATGCAGAACATCTGTTTGGTTTTCCGGTTTGGTTATTATGACCTATAAAGCAACAGACATTCTTGTAAGCATCTTTTGCTGATATGTGTGCAAACATAAAGAGAGAGAATCAAAAGATATACAAAATGTCTATTGAACTATAGATCATGCTAGGCAAACTAGAAACTCAAGAAAGTTCCTTAAGAATGGATAAGTTGTGATGTATGCAAACAATGGAATATTACACAGCAAGAAAGGATGAGTATGCTATCAAAACATAAATAACTGGATAAAAACAGCTCAGGGCCTCCAACCCATACACAAAAAGCAAAAACTCTATGGTTCAATTTATAGACCAAGTTTGAAAACAGGAAAAAAAGAATCTATGGAGTTAGGTAATTAATTATTAAAAGGGAGCAGAGAGGGTACTTTTAGGGTTTTGTTAATAGAGTCTGTTTCTTCCTGTGTGTCATAGTTAAATGAGAATATTCACTTTTTGAAAACTAACTGGGCTCGTACACTTATGATCTGTAATACTCAACTGTGGATCACCCATATTCTGAAGGAGATGATAAAGATTCTTTATATGAAACATTTCATTTATAAATTACATGATAATCCTCATTCTTCTAAGATTTTAGAATATTTTCCCCAATTCTAGAGTTAAAAGATCTAAACATTGATAAAAATAGCTTTAATAGTTATCACCGTTAATTGTGGGGGGAATACTTTATTTCCCCAATTCCTTCAAAAGTTATCTAAAATGATATTTCTTAAGCTTCTAATTTTTCAGCAGGTAGTCCTTTTGGTACATTCAAAACATCATTACCTAGATTTCTAGAATTTTTGATGTTTAGATCTCATTTCTGCAAGTTATTATCTCATTTCTATAATCCAAAGCAAATTTCAGTTTAAAAAATGTATAAAGGGTAAAAATAAGAATAACTGGTGACCTGGATTCTTACAGTAAATCTGGGGCTGGGAAAGATCTAGAGAGGAAGGGTGAGTTTCACTGAGTGCTTAAACATCATCCTGAATCTCTCTCCCCTCCTTTCAGTATAGGAAGACTATACAAACTTTCTGGAGGGAATGAGAAATGAGTGGAAAGAGTTTAGCTTTTTTATTTGAGTACATACATTTTTCACATTCTGAACTGTCATACAGACTTACCATTCACAACATTAGAAAAAATTAGTAAAGTGGCTTTATATCAATTAGCTTTGTACTAAATACTGATTTTGTTGTTGTTGTCATTGTGTCAAGTAGAACTGACAAGTAGAACTTTTCAGAAGATCACCAGATCTGTCTTCCAAGGAGCCTCTAGGTGGTTTCAGGCAGCAAACCTTGCAACTAAGGGTTGCTGTTAGGTGCTGATGAGCCCACTATGACGCTAAGAATAACAGAATCACACCCCATCCTGTCACATCCTCTCTATCTCCAACATGAGTCACTGTTAATATCCTGTGTTAGTGCTTAAACATTTGAGCCACCACCCAAGAAATCCTATAGTGCTACACAGAATTTTACAGTTCACAGTTGTTCTTTAATCTCATCTACACTATGTGTAAAATATTAGCAGTCCACCATATTGATAAAACAAATTAATTTCAAGGATCTTGAGATTTGTGGCTAACATCAAACATTCAAAAGGTGGTGCCAACTACCTCAAAAGAAGAAAAACATAAAACAGTGAGCTAAGCCTTCTGTAACACATTTACAACTTAATTACTCAAAAATTTTCTTGAAAGTCTTAGTGATAGCAATAAGACAAGAGAAGGAAATAAGATGTATCAAAATTGGCAAACAAGAGGTAAAATTATCTCCCTATGCAGATGATATGATAGTATACTTAGAAAACCCTAAAGACACAGCAAGAAAACTATTGGACACAGTAGACCAATTCAACAAAGTGGCAGGATACAAGATCAACATACAAAAATCAATTGGCTTTCTCTACAGTGACAAAGAGATTACAGAACTAGAGCTAAAGTAAGCTCTGGTGGCCTAGTGGTAAGAATCTGCACTGTAATCCAAGAGGTGTGTGGTTTGAATCCACCAGATGCTCTGCCGGAGGAGGGACAATTTCCTCCTGTACCAGTCAGATCAGATTTGATGGTACAACACACACGGAAAAAAAAAATAATAAAATGAAATAATTTTTTTTTAAAAAGAACTGGAGCTAAGAAAAACAATACCCTTCACAATTGCTAATAACCAGAAGCACAAAGGATCTATTAAAAGAAAATTACAAAACATTACTCCAAGAAACAAAAAAAGAGACCTGGAGAAGTGG